ACGAGACGACGACGACGAGAGAGAGAGAGAGAGAGAGAGAGAGAGAGAGGGACAGGGACCCGGGCATCCATCATGTCATTGGACTGTCGTTACCCCAATAGACTATTTTCCTGTGTAGCCCATTGGACTATATATGGAAAAGTGTAATTAGAATGGCCTGAGATCATGGAGGTAACACGATGTGATGACACAGTATAACATCTGAGAATGTCTTGCCATGGCGATCAATCCTTCTAGAACAATTGACCCCCCCATCTAGAACATTCCGAACCACAACATTTAGAGCTTGAATTCCTTTGACTTCATAAATCTCTACACTTAAATGTTCATCAACCCAACTGTTTCTTTCTTGTTTGGTCTCGGCAGAGAGAAATAAGGAGGTGTTAAATAGAGGTGAGACTGCACTCTTCACCCATTTTGGGGTTATGACCACCTTCAACCTTTCAATATCCTGGGGAAAGTGAGGAATGAGAGAGAAATTCAAGTCATTTCCTTTATCCCCAGCCCTGCTATGGGCTATATCATATAGAGATATCTCTTGATTAGATGGAGCTGGGTGTGGCAGCTCAAGAGGACCATCTTTTTTAGGGAACAACTCCATGAAAGCATTAGAGCGATAGTTTAGTGTCATGGGTAGCACAAGAGAATGGGTACCAAGATGAGCTTTCTCAAGATACATCTGACCTTTAGCAGGAAGTAGTGAAATTTCATATTGTTTTGCATTTGTGCGCCAAAATACAGATTCACGTGGGACCTGCGTAAACAAGCAATTCATCCAATCATTGAAAAAGACAAGGCAATCAAACTTGGAAATTAATTTAGAAGCATATATAAAGAAAAGTGTGTGCACATGCATGCATGCACACACAGACAGTGCATGCATTTGTTTGTGTGTGTGTGAGAGAGAGAGAGAGATGGTGGTTCTAATGGGAGTAGGCGTATCCAATACTGAGAAGTTAGGGCCTAAAACAATCAATATGGACTTGAAAATTTATAGTGTGCGTTTGTGTGTGAAGTGCAAACACAAATGCGGATGAGCACATAGGCACACCCAACACAAATGTAAAGTATAATATTACAATAACATAGTCATTGATGCATTGCATAATCTTCGTCCCCAATTGCCTTTCACACTACTATTGAATTGAAAGGCAGTCCCTTACATCAATATATGACTAGTTCCATCTTTATTGTTTTACAGCCAAGTCTTTTAGTAGGGACAATCTGAATCCATAATATTTTGCCAACTTTTTTGTACCTAAATTGCAAAACTGCGTTCATGGTCAATCCCGAATGAGTTAGAAATTTCCGTTATTGTCAGTTAAATTAAATATCTACAACACAATTTATTGGCTGCTGACTGTATAAACAGTGTTAAAAGACAAGGTTACCAATTACACCCATCCCAATAGTAAAAATGACCAATTCACCTGTTCTCTTTGAAGAATCACCTCCTTCTTGTGCCCCGTGCTGCATTTCAAAATGGGGGATCACTCGGTATCTCTCATAATACAAAAACCTCTCATAATATAAAACTACCATTAGCCAAAACATTAAATAGTTCAGAACAGGAATAATTACCTAAGAATAAGATATTTACACAAATATAACTTTGGAATTCCATAATGTAAAGGATATTGCCTTAATAAGACCCCATTGGTAGGACTCTAACACCTTCCTTTGTTTCATAGATGGTGAGGACCACAATGGACTACGGTTTTCCATAGTCCATTGGGTCATAGTATACATTGCCACTCTATAAAGGGAAAATATTTCAAGATTGGAATTTCTTGTATGGAAAGAAATGAGAAATTTTCCTTTGATAGACAAAATAAGCCTTTTCACCACCCTCTAAAATTTAGTCCAAGGAATACAAACATTTGGACAGAAATAAGTACGAACCTGATTCCCCCTCCACCTGCAGGTCCATTTGTATAGAGAGCTAGAAACTCTTTGATGAAATGAAGAGCATGCTCTTTCAATTCAAACAGCCCATCCATGCGCAATCTAATATCCATATAGTTTTCCATGGACAAATTGCGGTCGTGTATGCTACTTGCCTTCAGGCTATCTACTCCAATGGCATATGAAATGATACGATCCTGAACACCAGATAATCCTTCTTCCGTCCAAGATCTAACCTATACAAATGGTCCACTTTATAAGATTAATTATATAGTCATATATACTATAGTTCAATGGACTATGAATATTTGGAACCAAGAGCATCCTATGAATGAATGGAGAGTGATAGAGTGGGACCAACACGAGTCATATCCTGTTCTGTTGGGTCTTCATCTCTGTCCACCATTTCATCAGAGCGCCATTATCCAGTGGACTATTTCCATAATCTATTGGAGGTGGTACACTTTCATTCAAAAAATTGTTTCCACCATTTGGCAAAAAAAAAGATAATAGCCATCGTATGGATTTTTTTTTCTTGATTGATTCATGTAAAGTGCAACATTGTCTACTGCTCATTTACTACAAATATATACATATCATTGATGTCGCAAACTTATAAAGCATATTGACGATTAAAGAGCACATTTGTTTTATGATGCAATGACAACACATGAGCAAAATATACTCACGTGAGTAATGACCCAATCAAGCAAATGGGTAATATCCAATCCCAATAAAAAACCAGTGTTTTCAAACCCAGAATTGGGTTTTGGTCTCCCACTCATTGTTTCAATCTGGATCAGCCAGATCAACAATCCCGATTGGCCAAACTGGTGAACGAATCTGTTAAAAAACTGATAAAAAATGAAATCATGGGGATTAACGTAGGTGGGGACTTAGATCGTCCACCCACCAAACCGATCCGGGTCGATAATTCCAGATATGGATCACAGGGCTTTAAAAACCTAAGCAATACTAAACCATAATGGATGGTGACGGTTTACCATAGTTCTTAGCGATGAATGTTCAGCCATGGGTATGGTTAAACTCCACCATCCATCATAGCCACATAATGGTGGATAAATCTGTGGTAACAAATACACTGTACACCACTGGTATGTGTACCTCCCCAGAAGAACATGATCAAAGAAATGAAAACCACATTGTGAGAAATGTTCCAGTGGATGGACTTACAAGAAACTCAGCAGCAGCAGCACGCTTTACGCATCCATGCCCTCCATAAGATATCTCTCCCCAACCTTTCCAACCAGAGTCCTATACAATAATACAATGCCTATATCGATACTCAAATTGAACTTGGGATTTGGTAACATTTGAAGCTGATAATCCATGCTTCTGAAAAGGATACATATGAATATAAAAGCAAAATCAGCCTTCAAAATGCACCCAACACACTTTTATTCAACATTGCATCCCATATGTATGACTTCAACAAAATTGCCACTATTTTTTTGCAATTCAAACGGTACAGAACCTCACCCCAAACCCAAAATACCTTGTACGTTTCCCTAGGAAAAAAATGATTGAGAAGGGATAGAAAGCCCAAACAATGCAAATATCAAGAGTCAACAAATATTGAAGGAGTGCAATTTAAGAATCTAATTTTACCATAACCAACAAACATAAATGGAATGCTCAAATCGTTTCATAATCTAGAATAACAACAACAAGAGCAACATCAAACAGCAGCAGCAACAACAACTACAACAACTAGAACCACAATGAGTATATAGAACCCTACTTTGATTCCAGCTACTAATTAAATGAACTGGTGCACTGTTGTGAAATATATCTACAATGAAATAAGAAGGAACTGATGATGGCAGTTTCAAATCAGCTCCCAATTTAATGTGTGAATGGGTGTTTCTTTAGGACATTCCTTATAACTACCATCATCTGAGCTTTTTCCCAACTATTTGGAGTCAGCTACACAAATCTTGGTCCATCAGTCTGCTCTACGAAAGGCCATACCCTCAGTGAGGCCATAAGTTGCCATATCTTTTCTAACTACTTCCAACCATGTCCTTTTGACCCTACTTACCCCTTGCCTATTTTCAGCCTTCTATTTAAACTAACTCGCACCTTCTAACAGGTATTGTACTGGGTCTGCAGTGCACACACCTAAGTCTACTTTCTCTCATCTTATCACCTATTGGAGCCACACCTAAGTTCTCCCGAATGTAATCATTTCGAATTCTATCTCTTGTCTTGTCACTCATCCATCTCAACATCCTCATCTCAACTATACTCATCGTTTAGGTATATTATTTCTTGACCGCCCAACATTCCGCCCCATAAAGCAAAGCTGGTCTCATCATTGTCCTATAAAACTTGTCTTTTATCTTCATTAGTATGCAGTGATCAAATTGAACTCCTATTGCACATCGTCACCTCGCCCACCCAGCTCTAATTCTACATACGTCATCTTCCTCAATCTCTCCATTTTCCTGGATTATCGACCTGAGATATCGAAAGTGCACTCTTTTTGGTATTTCTTGGCCATAAATCTTCAACTATTTCCTCGTCTCTATCCCTATTATTGCTAAATTTGCATTTCATATACTCTATCTTAATACGGTTAATTTAAAACCTTTAGATTCTAAAGCATCCCTCCAAAGTTCTAACTTTGTGTTGACACTGCTTCGGGTCTCATCAATCAAAACTATGTCGTCCACGTACAACATACACTATGGTACCTCATCTTGCAGGTTCCTAGTTAAGTCATCAATAACTAAGACAAAGAGGTATGGGCTCAATGCTGAGCCCTGATGTAGACCTATTGTCACTGAAAACTCACTCGTCTCTCCACTAGTTGTTCGCACACTAGTTAGTGTTGCCTCATACATATCTCTCACCAAGTCTATATATTTAGAGACTCCTTTCTTTTCCAACACCTACCAAATTAAATCTTGAGGTATTCTATCATAAACTTTCTCTAGATCAATAAACACCATGTGGAGGTCTTTTCCCTTCGCCCTAAACTTCTTAATCAGTTGGCTAAGTAGGAAAATGGCCTCAATTGTTGACCTCCCCGGCATAAAACCAAATTGGTTTTCTGAGACACTCCTTTCATGCCTTTGTCGTTGCTCAATCATTCTCTCCCACAGCTTCATAATATATAGCTCATGAGTTTGATCCCTCGATAGTTCATACAATTTCGTATGTCTCTTTTGTTCTTGTAAATAGGTACCACAATACTTTTTCTCTGTTCATTTGGCATTTCTTTATTCTCAACACCTTGTTGAACAACTTGATTAGCCAATCAATGCCGATCTCTCCCATGCACTTCCAAACCTCTATCAGGATATCATCCAGTCCTAAAAAGCCTTTCCTATCTTCATCCTCTTCAAAGTATCTTTTACTTCTGAAATCCTAATCCTATGAATGTATCTATGACCTCCGCCCTCATTTATGCCAACGTTTCTTTCTGCTGTTGTGTTTCCATTGTATTTGTCATTTAATAATATTTGAAAACAAACTCTCGACCTTTTGTTGACATCTTATTCTTCACCAAGACCCTTTGATCCTCACTCTTAATGTATTTAATATGGTCTAGATCCCTATATTTTTCTCTCATTTTTGCTAATTTGAAGATATCTTTTTTACTTTTTTTATTCCCAGTTTGATGTATAGATTATCATATGCCTTAAGTTTAGCCTTTCTTAATATTTTGCTTAGTGTTTTTCTTGGTATTTTTATATTCTTCTCAATTTTGATCATTTCTATTACATTGCCAAGTTTTATAACATGATTGGACTTCAGACCCTCATTACTCTACCACCAAGTTTCCTTATCGGAATTTATTTTCCCTCTAGTTTCTCCTAAAATTATGCTTCATCTAAATATTTAAATACATTATATATATCCTAGATAGCTATATAACCACATAACCATATTTACATTGTTTTTCCAATGCTACTCTCGCTACTATACATGTTTTGGACAATACGCATTTAGTATCCAAGACAATGTAGCAATTTGCAAGTGGGATACGAACTCGTTTATTCAGTTTTTGTCTCAAACACAAAATGGCGGTTTTTTTAGTGTATGCACACCTAAATGGGAATCCAAATTGGGAGCCCTTGAACCACATTTTGTCCATCAACTAAAATGCCACCCCAACAGTGCCAAAGCATGATTTGGGGCAGCAAAGAAACAATGCCTCAGTCTCCAGAATGATATGTATTATTTAAATGACATAAATGTTAAGGGACTTGTCCACTAACCAAGTTCTAAAGATGCGTAGAAGAATGAAAAGATCCATCCCTTTCTCCCTTGCTCCCCTTCCATTTCCTCTCTTTATGTTTATCAGCAACTCAATAACTTATATAAATATCACTTACATTATACTCAAAAAAGACCATAATCAAATTCTACTAGATTAAAACCTCATCCTTGCAATTGCAAATTTAGATTGGCTATTTCTCAACAACATACTCCCACAAACTTTCAATTCAGATATTAATGTTCCAAAGTTGGGATTCAGGAACTGGCTTCATTGCTTAGGGTGCTGACAATTGCTACACAACATACACGGTTTGAACCCACTGCTGACCTCCCTCCACAAAAGCAATGAAAAGGGAAAAAAAAATTCCAAAAGTTATTCAGCGAAACCGATTACTTTAACAACCAGTATATCCTTACAAAGACATAATTAGACACCAGAAATATCAGTTATAAACCACAAAATATGAGAATACCCTAAAAGTACCAGAAGCAATTATAAAATTATCAAAAAGTTCATCTAAGTGCATAATGTAGATAATAGATGCTACTGGAACTATATTGAACTAGAATAAACAAACAAAAGGTGAATAAAAACTTCCCTTTTCCTCTAGCCTAACATATTCCGAAGGACTTAAGAAAGAAGAAAACATTATTACCCTTGGGACCAACTGAAGAAGCTTTTCTGGGGCCTTGACACTGGAGACTCTTGCCCCAGCACAAAGAACCTTATCTTTTGACAACTGGCGGAAAGTGACATTTTGAAAATCCACAACCTGCAGTTCGGAAAAAGTACTTTGCTTTTTTACAGTTGAAAAAAAATAATGAAATAAAACACTGAAACTCCATGATTGTGAGTTACAAATCAACAAATATGCTTAACTCACCACATCAGGAGTAATATAAGCACTGGGATCTCCAACCTCATAAAGAAGTTGTTCTGCACAAGTGCTACAACTTATCTCACCTCCACTATTTTCTGCTTTAGCAACACAAACATCTCCCTCATAACCAACTTCCACATATGGAAGGGACATATCCAGAAGCTCTTGGAAAGAGAAATCTCTGTACTTGTCACCTGCACTAAGACAAAGCCTGAGCACTTATCTCCATCTTCTTTTTATTTTTTACTTTTTGGATTGTGAGTATCTAAGGTCTCTTTCACTCTCTTAAAGGTCATATGCTATGGCCATGCATTGCATTTTGCAATGCTTGGAAAAGAACAGAAATCTGGTCTGTACAGAGTCATAGGAGATTGAAACATAAATGAAGCTACAGAAAGGCCAGATCAGCTCAGAAAGTTTGAAAGTAAATTTAATCATAACCAAGTCACTTACCTGGATGCATGAAATAACCCCCAGTGAGCTGACAACCACACTCAAGAAGATGTGCTGCTAGAGATCCTCTAGCTAGTTGATCAAAATCATTCCAGTTCCATCCTAGCTCATATACCTAAGTTTGACCCGTCAAAAAGGCTATTACTTCTCATATGTAATTCAACTTTTACATGGAGTTCTAAAGAAGTGGTGTCTAATAAACTATGGACCACATAAACCATAGCCCAAATAATGGCGTAGATTATTTTGCTTACAACATCTTGACTGTTTCATGTACGTTATTTTGCTTACTACATCTTGACTGTTTCATGACCAACTCATCATCAAACATTGTCATAGTTGAAGTTCTCCATTGTACAAAAGAAACTAAATTTTATATCAAACATCAAACATTATCCAATACAGAATTAATTAAAGATGCCACTACAATTGGACATGACATGAAGCCCACAGATGATTTGTTCAATAGTTCCCAGTGATTGTAACCATGTAAATGGTTTCATAGATAATTACTGAGTATCTACCTGTGCCACAATCTTCAATGGAAGAGACGAACACTATATTAGATTTAATTTTTTCAACAAATATTTCTTTGTACCGCTGGCTACCTATCTATCCCAGACAGGCATGTGCTCACACACACATGGAAGCAGGCAAACTTGCAAAACACATATAGATTGACTTGTCCAAATGAAGTTCCTGTAAACATTAAAGACTCGTACCAACATAAGGTAAGATTTTAGTGTCAGTGAACAATATCAAAGAGTCAATTGCTATGGTATTACAGCAAAATCTAGTAGCCCACGAATACATCTATTCTAAATTAATATCTTCAACAGTTGAAGCCAATTACGATACACCAAATTTCTATTCCATATGAACAGCATCAAATTTAGAATACCCAATAGGAATAAATATAAATGACATCATGGTCATAATGCTAACTCACCATTGGACCAAGAAATAAAGAGGCATCAGCAACCCGTGAAGTTATGATAACATCTGGTTTATACTTCTCCAGGCAATGTACAATAGGAGCTGCCCCAAGGTAAGTGCTAACTCCCTTCAAATACATAATCAGATGGCTCAATGGAGAAAACTAATTAGAATAAACATTATAGGGATACATCCACATCTCAGTAATACTATTAAAGAAAGGATAGGCAACTTCTATATAATAGATATAGACATTGAAATAGGGTGAAACCACATGGCTTCTAGAGATGTACTTCCTTTATAAACTATGACATACTTGAAGACTCAGGCAATGTGGAAACAAACTTTTATTAAAATTCATAGGCATTAATTATCAAGACAAATTATAATTAAGATGTGCCATACAATCAATCACACAGCATTATGATAACACAATTTTGGAAGAAATGTGAAAGAGCAAAAATGCAAGCTACAAGAGAAACAGACTTGTTCAAAGTATCTTTTCACACACAAAAAGGACTGTACAGCCACTGAGTCAGGAACATTGGTAACTGAGATAGAAGCACGAGAAGTAAGCATCCTGATGGTATCTCCTATAAGTAAATACATGAGTATAATTATTGATGTAGGAAATCAGCTCTAGACATATCAGTTATGATGCCAATCTAAATATTTTACAAACTGAATATGTCTCTATGTTTTATGGTATTATCAGTATCCACCAAGCTGGAACAGAATTAAATGAAAACCCAAGGGTCATAAAGGTGTATGAGACTCTTACACCCAGCATGTCACCGGATCTTGTGGATGAAACTGCTGACCCTGAAAATGATGAAAAACATGAGAAGCAATAAATTAAAACAAAAAAAAAAGATGAAAAGAGAAAACATAAGAGTTGGCCACTATAAAGAGGGAGAAAGAAAAGATATCATTTTGGAAAATAATAAGCCTAAGATCTAATTCCAAGATATGATGCATGGATACTTGTATATACGTAACATATCGATGCCGTATCAAGTCAATACTATACTTTTACCAAACACTGCCAGAATACTTGTAAATATAAAATGAGACAAGCATTAAAATTAAATAATAAATAAAAGATAGTATTATGCATTATGATGTGGTGTACAAATGCATCAATGTGTAAGATGCATAAAAAAAAATTATAAACAAGACAGAATGTACATCTATCGATGTGTGTCGGATAGGATACTCGATTTCCATATCCTGGATCTTGAGAAATGACGAGTGGCATTTTCATTCTCCACATCCATGTCCTTTTCCGGCTGACCCCAAATAATTGGGATAAGGCTTGGATGGTAGTGATGATGATATCCATATCTTTTTCCACTCCTATACCTGGGCATCTTAGGTTCCAAGTACTTTAAAAGTTATATCATTTGAAGGATGAAATCAAGTTTAAACCTCAAGTTAGTCACTATCAAAAGAAAATTTGACAAAAGGCAGAAGATGGAATATATGTAGCAGTCTCAATCCTGTGTAATAAAAAAATAAAAAAAAATTCATAAACAGAAATGCTAAGGATACCTGTTTCTGAAGAGAACCATACAAATAGATTTTGACACAAATGCTCATAACTTATCTTGAAAAGTTTTTAAAGATAGACCTGACTCTGTTATCTTTTTTTTTCATGTCAGCTGTAATCAATTTCATAGACAAACAGTTACAATATTCGTGGCCAGCATCTCGAGTCACTCAAGAAGAATTTACAGTGTACGTAGCTACATGCCTCTCGATTTGACACTTATCATTGAATCACAGGAGGACCGCATTCATTGACATTTTGATATTTCAGTAATACTAATGAACTAGGTTAATTTGCCTATGCGTTGGTGAGGCCTGGTTTTGGCTCACGGATTGGTTTATACTTTAGTAAAGCAGACCAAACATGTCATATGGTTTGGCCTTGGCTCGAATGGATAGGTCTAGTTAGTTCTTCTCTTTTTGCTAGTTTGTTACACTATCCAAACTAACTGGAACCCACCACAGGTCACACCTGACCACACTGGAGGAGATCTTAGGAAGATCTATTTAAGCAAACAAGGATTTCACTGTGCAGATATTGTGCTTTTCATTTTGGTTCCATTGGGAAAGTTAACAACAAATGACTACTTCAACCCTTGCAAGCTGTAAACAATAAACTTCGTAAAAGGGAGAATATTCCATGCAGAGATTTGACATGTATGTACTTAAAGAAACCAAACAGACTTATTTTTATTAAAAATGTCAAATAAACAAACTCCCTTTTTAAATTAAGTACAAGGAGAATAACCTGGTTCGAGCTGATTGCACTCATAAGCAACAGCAACAGTAACAGAAAGGCCCAAATTGCTGGCTACATTGAGAACTTTTTCTTGTGCACCAAGTGAATCCACTTCAGCCAGACAATCAAAAGAAGAACAAAACACACAGGGAGACTCAATTACCAGTCCACAATATTGCAAATTGAAACATACAATATAACTCTCTTTTGGGTAGATATAATAACAATATAATCATTACTTACTTGCACCCATGTTGGTAATTATGCAGATTCCTCTCTCAACAGCCAATGGAAGAAGCAAATGCATCCAATCAGAAACTGCATTTTGGCATTCATTAAAAAAAGGTGCAAAAAAAAAGACCAAACTCTAAATGTACAACCAAATGCGTATCATCTCAGCAGACTCTAACTCTAAATGTAAAACCAATTGAACTGCATTTTCATTCAACTCAATGGTGTAACAAACACGTCATGGCTCCATATACTTTTCATCTCAGTAGAGTCTCATTCCAAAACTAAATAAAAACCAACTCAATTGTACTTATAATAACCTCCAATTACTATCAAAGACCTCCCAAGAAGAAACTCAATTATCATAACTCATGAATAACACCCATTCAACAAAAAATCAGCAAAGCTCACCATTTCTCAGTTTCAACAAAGCTGCCTTTCATTTGAAATTCAAACAACTATGGTGAACACATCCACTGAATAACATAAATAAGAATTGTAACATCTTCCTAATGAATGATACTGCGATTTCACAAGCAATGATGTGATAGCAGTGTTGGTAGTGATGGTGATGACCATAGCCTATTTAAGAATATGATCCATGGAATAAAGAGAAATACTTGATGGTGATTAATGATGGTCCAATAAAGAATGACAATTAATGGATGGAGGCAGTGTTTAAAAAGTAGGAACCCCAGCTCAAACTCGCCATGGTCCTGAGCCCGAGTCCCCGAGGTCTGACAGGGATTCTGAGTCAGACTGGGAACCTTTTAATAAGAGAAATTTAAAAAATTATGAAAAATATGGGAAGACTAGTGATTCTGGGATTTTTCAGCCCGAGATCGCCTGCCTCCCGATCTAGTGCAACTCTAGTGAATTGGACCAGTTTTCTTTTGAAAAAAATGGATAGAGGAAATGTACGTACTGCGAGAATCATAGCCATCACCACCAGACATCATAATTTGGTATCGATCAGCAAGCGTGCGCTCTGCCAAACACTCAATAACAAGATAGTCCAATGTTTTGACTCTTTCAAGCAATTTAAGAGCACCCAGAGGCCTGTCTCCCCCAAACCCAGCTCCACAACCTATGTAAATCTTGTCCTTGTGCCTTTGTGGATTCTCTCTCTACAATTTGACACACATCTTACATGTTACCACTTCGGGTTTAGGGTTAAATTTTTTCGAAAGATAAAAGATAGAGATGAAATGCTTGAAATAAAATTAGTAGTAATTCACTGACCAGCTTGATTTCGCAGTTGTCTACACAGTCATCCATGTGGGCTTTCATGTTTTCTGATTGTTTTGGCTCAAAACTGCATGTTGGGTTTCTAAAATGCATCAAAATGCACAGAGAGAGATAACTTGGCTAACAACAAATTATATAGGGATGTGATTTTCTCTAACAACAAATTATACAGGGATGTGATTTTTGGACCTTGTTAAACTATCCCAAAACAATAACAAATTACAGAAATTTAAAAAATAATAATAATAACAACACACATTAAATTTCAGAAAATTTGAAAAAAGTAACATTAGATCACGTCATTCAATTTGAGAAAATTTGAAAAAAGCAATATTAGATCAAGTGGATGAGCGAGACTATAAGATAGTACTGGTAATATAGAAATAGATCAATATTATTTGATTACGGACTTTAAGATAAAATGATAAATTAATAACATGGGAACCACACAAAATTCAGGATTTTTTTTTTAGGAAATCAGAAACTTGATGATATTCCGAAAAAATGGAAAAAATGGTTATAATTAATTTCTGAAACGTGTAAAACAGTTACCAAAAATATAAATTTTACATGAAAAAACCACTAAGTGAAAATTTACAAAAACAGCCTACATATTGAGAGCGTGTTAAATAAAATTATGATCATAGTCAATTTCAATTTGATGGTGCATATTTAAGAAATCTAAATTTAAAAAATGCAAGTATTGCTAAAAAAAAATACGATTAACAAGTAAATTATGTAACGAAATTCATTCCAATTTCTTTAATTTGTAATTTTATAAATTTATTAATAGCAAATATAGAATGAAATAAGTTTTCCCCTTCAAATGTATCCGAATAAAGATTTTTAAATATATTATTTAATAACTATATAAATATATACAAAATTATATACAGAGTAAATTCGAAATATATTTTTTAAAATTTTTTAACAGTACCTGGTCTGGTGAGATTTGCCCCTTTTTTTTGAGCCTTGTTCCCGCGATTTCATTTACTTTTGTACTATTTTTCAACAATTTAATTAAATAAATATAATATTAAAACAAATTTGCCCATAACGATTACCTCAAATACGATTGTGTCCATACCCTAAAAATGAATGCGATAAGTAGCTGCTGGACTAGCAATCCAGAATTGTGAATACTCAAAATTGGGTTGAATTAGCAATTCAGAAAAATATTAAAAAAATAATATAAAATAAAATTTCAATTTAAATAGAGATTTGTGGATATTTAGGATAACGGGAAACAATTTTCCTAAAATAAATTAAATACGGTTCAAATAACAAAATAAAAAATAAAAAAATAAAAAACGGGTTTTAGGGGAGAGCCAGGTTGGGTTCCATACCTTCCAAGAACCAATTCGATCCTGGGCAGTCCAAGGGAATTCCCAGATTGATAATTCCCGTTCCATATTACTAGGTTTCAAACAATATGCCCAACTATTCAAGATTTCAAGTAAAGCCTCCATGTACAACAGAGTAGGGGTGGTAATGAATTTGGGCCCGTGGTATACCCGATCTAGGTCCAAGTATGGGTTTAAAAATTGGACCCATCAGGTCATGTCTAGGTCCAAATCTTGGACCCGAACACTATTTAGTTTCGAATTTGGGTCCGGTAATATTTTTCGGGTCTCAATATATGAAATATAGTTATTTTAATTTTTTGGCCGGATCGGGTCCATGCCGGTGAATTCAGGTCCGGTCAGGTCCAAGTCGTCAAGCCCAACCCGTTGCCACTATTAACAATGCAGAAGTATGGTCGCCTACTAGCCGGACCATGGTGGACTTGGACCCAGCCCACTGCATATTTTTTCGGTTGGTAATGGGCTAGGGTTGGCCTAGACCCATTTTTTGAAAACAATGCCGAGCCCTAAGCGCAGCCAGGCGCTCTAACAGGACCAAAAAGCCTGGCAAAACTAGGCCAAGTCCCTAGTGAAGCTCGAGCTTGCATAAAAGTAGGCGCGGATTGGAAGCCCATGGGCCAGGTATTGAGATTGGCATCCTTCAAAGTGTGTGTTTTGGGCTTATGAGTCCGCATTTCCTTGAGAAAAATGTTGCACCTCTAGAGCAAAAAAATCATATCATGGTGGGATACTATAAGGAAATTTATCAAAGGCGAGATGAACAATTTAACATTTTACTAGCATTTTTTAATTTAATTCTAAAATATCAAAGTAGTGGACAGAGTTTGTGTACGTGGATGCCCCACAAATAAATACAAATGCACATTAAGACCTAAACTATCATAATTCATGGAAAAACTATCAAATAAAAAAAATAAATATTGATAAAATCGTGTAAGTCGGGAATGGGGTCGGGGCATTAGTGGTTAAGGGGGCGGGTGCCTTAAAAAACGTCCCACCCTCTATTTCCATTGTTGACGTATCAATAAATAAAGAAAATGATTGTATATAACGAGATCATTTACTTTTGGTACAATAAGATCACAATTACTTATAACCATCCAGTGTGAAATCTGATAGTTGGGGTGTGTCACAAAGGTCGAGAAAATTTTATTTTGAATCTTGAGTTTGGTTAATGAAATAAATGCAACCATACAATTGTCAATCTTAATTATGACCACCTTGTTCCAAAAGTACATGGTCTCGTTGTATTCTTTTTCATAAATAAATATATAAAATCATGTAAGGCAAACTTGAACAAAAAAAATAAAAAATAAGATAAAAATAAAAGGTTTGTGAGGCAAAAAAATGGAAATCAATACTCTAGAGCACTGTATGAAATCAAAATCACCAAATTTCTTCAATTCAATAATGCAAAAATCAACAAATGAAAATATGTGATGGTGCGTTCAGATATTACAATCCAGGAAAGGATTCAAAAGCGCACTTTAGAGACGGATTTAAGATGGTTCAATGAATTATAAATGATATTTGTGCAATGTGAACTTATAACTAGAAGTCTTCGACACAATCATTGCATCAAAGCATAGTAAATGAACGGAATTATATAAAATATATCTAGAAAGATCATCATCATCATCGTCATAGTCTTTTATCAACTATTTAAGGTCGGCTAAAATATATCTAAAAGGGTGAAAATAATAAATACTATAGACAAGACTGACTATGTTTCATTTTTAGACCAAAGTACAAACACCTTTGACTGGTATATACACTAACACTTGCGGCACTACCCATGAATGCCCACATACTACATGCTACAACTGAACTCTGGTTGAAAACATCCTTTTGATCTCTAACTTTTTGAAATTCGTTAAGAACTCCGAGTATCTAAAAATATCTTCAAAAAATCATTTTTTTAGTGGAGCATATGTAAATCCATATTTTATTCTTTAAAAAAAATTTGTAAAAAAACTTATTATGTTTAACTATATCGAAACTTTATTCTCTTAATTGATTGGATATCTTTGAATTTCTACTTAGAGCCAAACACATTAAAAGTGGGGTAAGTTAATATTTGTTTAATAAAAAACCCCTTAAAAAAATTTCACTGACATATTCATTTAAAAAGTGTGCTAATAAAAACATTAGCAATATATTCCCAAAAAAATAATGTATCAAACCAGCAATATATCTCAAAATAAAAAGGGAGAGTCAGCGAAAATTATCCTAATGAGTAATGAATAATCTTATTTTTCTCTAAATCTTGAGTAGAGAGAGATTCATTCACAACTAAAGTCTTAGGAAACCAGGAATGTTGGGTGAAACATTTAGTTTTCTTTTATATATACAAAAGCGCGATTAGTTTATCATTTTCAATTTTTGTTATTTCTTCGGCATATACAACACAAATGAGGACCGTTGTTTCACATTTTTTGGGTTTTTTATGACTTAATTAATTGAAATCCTATATTGAGGGTCTTTTATCTCTTCTAACAAGAATCTTATAAATTGGGTTACAATTCGTGTTATTTGCCAATGCAGTTCTTTTGTTTAGTATTGTTATTGTCATTTCATTATGCTCCCAAAGTCTCAATAGATCCATTATATGTTTTGTGTTGTGACAATAAAGTGAACATGGTTGATATGTTTAATAAGAATATGTCAAGTATGTAAGGACAAAAATTATTATTATCCAACTCAGCTAAAATTTGGCAAGGCATGATTTTTACCCATTTTTTTCATCTGACTTTTTGGAACAAAACCAATTTATTATCGATGTTTTGATTTGTGTTATTACCCAAATAGTGTTATTCCGCTATGGTGGCAACCACAAAAACATACTTTAGAAAGTTGGTTGGTTATGAGGAGAATCCAAGTCTAACATGATTTCAACATTATTCTGTGATCACATTTCATTGGATTATAGTATCCCAAATTTCATGGGGATACTATTGAAGTTGCTAATATATAGTTTGGCAAAATAAATTGGAAGCGTGAGAGAGAAGGGGTGGCAATGGACACGGACCAAACCAGGGACTCGAGGGGTAGACTTGATCCGAGTCCAGATATGGGTCAAAAATTTGGACCTGATGGGTTAGGTCTGGGTCCAAATCTTGCACCCGGATACTATTTGGGTTCGGGTCCGGGTCTGGTAATATTTTTCGGGTCCTAATATATAAAATATATTTATATATAGTTAAATACATATATATTTTAATTTTTTGGTCGGATCCGAATCCCACACTATATTTTTTGGTCCCAATCCGGGTCCAGCGGGATGTTGCTAACTGAAAGGATAACATTATTTTAGTGCAAGGAAAATGTATGGAGAGATGCCATGGAAACAAAAAAGTGGGATTGGTGTGCTATATGCTTGAAGTTGAAAGTTGATTCAACCAAGCTGCAATATTGGTTAAACTTTAAACCATGGTTGATGCCTTGATGGTCAATGGAGACCAAGGCTTCACGTTCATTTTGTTCATGAGGCCCAACACAGTCTTCTCTAAAATTTATGGGTGGAAAAGCTCTTAACTAGAACAACAAGCACAACAATTTCCATTTCTTAAAAAACGCTAAATGTGTGTTTTACAAACAACTGTGTCATTCAAACTTGTAAGACCCTTTTTACTTTTGAAAAAGGTTTTTATAAGGTTGCAACCTTAGAATGTAGAATTAAGATAAACCTCAAAAATCCATCACAAAAAGCTGACTTGATGTTGGAAAACTTTCAAATTGATCATCTTGATATCGAGATGTACGAGTACGAAAAGAAAGAAGATTCGAGCCCTAAAACTAGTGCATATTGAAATACATTAACTGGATCATCTATTTTAAAAATTGTTAAATGTTTATAGAACTACTTGATTTGAACTATTTATCAAGTTTATGATTTTATAATTAGATATAAAAATAGCTTTTCAAACCATCTTAAGAGCTTTTTACAAAAAAATTATATTCATGATAAAAAATTTAGGTACGCCTTAATTTGATTGTTTAAGATTGCAACCTAATACAAACCACACCCTTTATACTCTCTCCTCCTTTTTTTTTTTTTTTTTAAGTAATTAGATCACTGTTAGTTGCACCATGCAACATTAATCAGCAAGGTAAATAATGTTCATCAATTTGACCATCATTTATTCGCAGTCACAACTAGCTAATGGTATGTGCTATGCACTATGGTCCAGCTTAGATGAAAATATGTTTTATGATATCTAAAATTGGATTATTAATAACCTTAAAATTTTATGTAGTTTTTTCAGTCATTCATTTTAGTAACGATGAATTTTCAACGGTGATTCTTCTTTAGTTTTATTCGTGTCATATAGTTTCTAATTTATTTCTAAATAATCGTTTATTTTGTTGAAAAGGATCAAATGGAAAAATTGGTTCCCAACCTCGAATAAGTGGGTTATTACTGTCAATTTAATTGGGCGGCTTAATTCAAGCATATTGGCTAAATCACCCCCTCTTGTTTAAATTTATGAATGTAGAACAAGCACATTCAATTAAAAAACAAGGGAAAATTACAAAAATCCCTATTGACTCAACTTTCTTTACAACCTCACCTCAACCAATTTTTTTATTGCAACTCTTATCACAAAACATATTTTTCTAGCAAATACCCCTAAATAAAAAAGTTTTAGTTATTTGAACCAAAATACCCTTGTCTGTACACTTCCAATTGTCAGTCCGCCCATGGTCTTTCAATTTAGGTTGTCAGTTCGGCAACAAGAAAGATAGTCCAACATGAGGTGCTTGGTCTCGACACTTCCAATTGCCGTTCTGACAGTGTACTCTATGTGGGCATAGTGTGCACATGGTCAGGCACGAGGAACCCTCGGTCTGGCAAATATGCAATGGGGGGCGACAATGTTTTTACCTCAGTTCGGCACAAAGTGTTATTGATTTGTCACTTTTTTACCTCGGTTCGACTGTTAACCTATTGGAATGGGTTGTTTGAAGGGCTGGTCTTCTGACATGGGTACCAGTCCGACAATTGTTTACTACAGTTCGACATATTGTTCATGCAGTTGGGCAGCTCTGCATTAGGGTATGACAATGGTTTTATTGTACCGGTTTGGCAGTTTTTTACCGCGGTCCGGCAGTTAACCTTTGGCCATTGTACATCCTACGAGGATGTGACGTGAGCTTATACGGATAATGGGCATTGTCTAAATAACTATGACTTTTTTGACTTGATGATATTTGCTAAAAAAGTATATTTTTGGGTAAAAATTACGATTAAAAATTGATTGGGGGAGGTTGTCTAAAAAGTCCAAGTTGGAAGGATATCTGCAATTTTTCCTTAAAAAAAAAAAGGGTTTGATCATAAGCTCCGAATGACCTAGATGTATTTGTGTTTTTTCCATTCGAAAATCTCGAACAAGGGATTTTTAACACGAAAAATATATTATGGAACTAGGAATTGAACAAGCAATGGCATTGCATCATTTGGCTTAGATGTCTCAAGTAGATAAAGTTTCCCGAGCAGTGAATGCAATATTGGCCGGTAATTAGCTGGTTTGATTGGAACGAGCCAGCGGTTGGTTTCGGTTTTGGCCGGGTTGAGTGATCCGGTTTGGTATTTTTTAATTTTTTTAAAATATAAAATCTCAAAAAACAAGATATTTGTTTATAATGCACTTTTAAATATTTTTTTATGGTAAAGATGGGAAAGTGTTTTGGCCATGAAATTTATTTGTATATTTTTAAATATTTTATAAAATTTAAAAAATATCTTTCACAAATCGATTTTTTAAAATCTATATATATATTTTTTATTAATTTTCAATTTCATTTGAATGTGTTTTGTTTAATCATATTTTACATATACTTTTCATATTTTAATTTTTTTAAAATTTTTTAATACTTTTTTGACCAGCTGAGACTTACCCAGTTAAACCAACCTAACCAGCCAGTTTACCAATTACTAGGAGACCAGCCATTGGCCAGTTTCTGAGATTGATTCGAGTTTCCGAGATTGATTCGATTACATATTACCCCGAACTATAAGGTAATACTCATAGTATTAAGAAAATTTATCAAATTACACCTAAGATGTACAATTTAATACATTGCCGGTATCATTTCATTTATTTTCAAAATAGGCTTGAAAAAACATAGGGTCGTGGCATAATTGTAAATAGGCCAGAAATGATTGATGTGTTTGGGCATATGGGCAATATTTTTTGAATGTTCTAGAGAGGTACCAAGGTGAAATCCTTATTTTAGCCATATTTTCGTTTTCATTTTTCATTTTTATGTTATTTTAGTCTCTCTCTTATTTTCGAACTACTCTCCACTCCTTTTGGGGGGAAGCTGGGGCGGTCATATAAATAGCCCTTTAGCGGTATTTATTTCCTGCTTTTCTCTCTCCTCTGGAGTCCGAGTTTAGAGAGAGAAAATGGTGACTTCTTCAGTTGTGAATGCTTACCCTCTCTCAAGCTACACCTTCGGCACAAAGGAGCCAAAGATGGAGAAGGATACCTCCGTTGCTGAGCGCCTTGCCAGAATGAGGGTCAAGTAAGTTACATGAAAACCCTAATTTCTTTATTCTATAACTTTTTGAGAATTACTTAGTTCTCTAGGAACCCTAGCTCACTGTGCGTGAGTGTTGGGAAACCGTAAATTTGGTTTGGTTTGATTTGGGTTTCTCACTATTGGTGATGAGGTCTGTAGAAACCCTTGTTTGGTTAAATCATGAGGGATCATGGATTTCATATCTATGATGACTTTGATAGGCTTTGGATTAAATGCTAAATTTTGGGAAATGGATTTCTTGTGATGAATAACGAGTTCATTATCTCATAATAATGTAAATAGATCTGTAAACTATATATGAACTGTAAATTAGTTTATTAAAAACCCTCTTTTGTTCCATATCTGTTCCATATATCTACTACAAATGGAAACATGTTCATAATCTCTCATGACTACACAAATTCTTGATTTTGTCTATTATGACTTTGACTGTTCATTGCATGAACCTAATTCTAATTTTGTTGCTCACTATTTTGATGATTGGATTTCTTATGATTTTAAGTAGTTATTGGGACAATCAAATTTGTATATCTGATGCATGATCTTATGTATGTGTTCCCGTTGATGACCTTTGCTAACCAGTGTATCGTGACACTAAATAAGTCTTGCTTAACTTCTCAACTTCTGTGTATAGTCTTAGTCGTGTCAGTTAAATAAACTCTACTTAAACATAAAGCTTATCTCTTTGGTACATAAATACGCGTAATGAAAATCTCAATTCCATCACCCTTAAGTACCTTAATCTGAGGAAGTGATTCCTTTATGAAGGTTTCCACAGATCCAACTGAAATGCACTTGTTGCTGCAACGTTGATGTAGTGGCCATAAACCCAACTAATCCACCCAAACAAAAAAGAACGCTTACTTTGTGAATGAAAATGGAAGGTGGTTGATTGAACAAGAGGATGCTAGGAATAAAAGAAAATTGAAATATATATTATTTATTTCGAAGTTTTGAGGTGCCAAAATATTTTTTTTAAAAGGATTATTTTGTGAACCACACGTGTTGTGAAGTTTAGCAAAGACTTATTTCACTATTAGCTGACCAAGTTGTTTGATGGATTATTCTTATTATGTATAAGCTTTATGGACATGCATGATATTGGTAGTCGATCTCTTGATTATTGTAACTAGCTTTTAAGATTTTGATATTATGTGTCCTTTGCATCATCATGTAAATTTGATCTCTCATGACCTTGAGAAGGTTTGCGGAAGCCCTAATGTAGACGTTCTTTAGGATCTTTTATGTGTATAAAAAACCCGAAGTCAATATCTTTCATGTATTAAGTCTGTCACGCTTAGTCACCATGTGTTAGCACCTTCTGTGCAACATGTGCAATAGGAAGTAGATAACCCAGATTGATGGACTTGTTCCATCTCAGAGGACTTGTCCATTCGGCCAACTTCATATTTGCTTTATATTCTTGCTGCATTTTGTAAGACAACTTGCTATGTCAGGAATAGCTTGTCAAGGGGCTTAAATTTTATTTCTTCCATAGTTCAATCTCCCAAGTCATTCTCTTGTAGATTTTTTGTAATAGGTTTGATTTATAGTATGTCCTGTCGAAGTTTATGTTGTGCTCATTTTTTTTTCACAAAGAAATTTCTTGGTACGGAATTAATTTATTTTGCTCATTTGGAAAGGGCACGTTTTTGAAGGGGAGAAAGTTTTTGTTCAACCTATTTTATTAACACGTATAGTGAAAAATTTCATATTATGAGGGTTCAATTTTTTATATTTGTCCACTGAAATTTCCATATTCTTTGTCTCCACATGGCATTCATTGTCTATATGTGTAATTAGCGAGGATTCTTTTGTTGCCTTTATAGTTCTACTTGGTTTCCCTAGTTTGGAATTGGGGATCACTATTTTTTGGGGGTTAGTGGGATTGAGTTCTATAATCAACTAATCTACTAACCAAGAGGTTAGTTTTTAGGGAAAATATATCTTTAGGGGTTATAAATCCTTGCAAAATAATTAAGGGGCTCAAAACTACCCAATTGACAATAGAGGGTTGTTCTTAATTTCAATTTTATTATAGTACATTCTCAGAAAATATCATAAAAAATGTCCAAATTGTGCCTATTCAAGGTTGGGAACTGTAGAACAAGTAAGGGCATTTTAATAATTAGACCATCCCAACCAAAAGATGATAATACTCATGCTTGTTAAAGATAGATCAAATTACTTAAATGCCCTTTACTTATTTGGGTTTCCACCCAAGAGAAGAGTAATTTAGTTATTTTGAGTTGGTTTTTTTTTTTTTTTATAAGAGATAGCTTTAAAAGGTAAACCCTATTAGAATATTTTCACCCACTTAATGAATTTGTGAGAGGTTTTGAATGTTAGCTATATAGATCCCGTACAATGCATGTAAATAAAATTTTTTTACCTACTACCATGGTGGGTCTATTTACAAGCTCCACTCACGCTCAAATTGCATTTTCATTCCCCCATTAACCCACCCCAATCTTAACTCTAACTTTATTGAAGGGGAAATCTCAAAGATAATTGGTGCCCATTCGAACCTCAATTTATTGGATTTGGGCTTCAACAATTTTGCAGGATCAGTGCCTCTGGAGATTGGCAATCTCACCAAGATTCACTTCATTTCTCTCTACTTAAATATACTCCATGGTACGATTTCTTATCAGCTTGGCAATCTGAAAAAGGTATGGTACATCGACCTTGGACTAAACAACCTTACATCTCCTGATTCATCAAGCTTTCCTGAGATGGTGTCGCTTAATCACCTCTCTCTCCACGATAACTTCTTAACCTAGTTCCCATCTTCGTTTCTTGATGAGAAAAATTGGTATACTTGGATTTGTCTTACAATTCATTATCTAGTTCAATACCAAGTCAATTCTTTTCTAGTGTAGAAAACCTAGAGTTCATCAACCTCAGTCATAATTTATTTCAAGGTCCTATTCCTGTTGAACTAAAGAATCTAACCAAACTTCAGGAACTTCGACTAGGTTCAAACAATCTCTTGGGGTCTATTCCTCATGAAATCGGTTTCACATTTGGTTTTCAAACCCTTGATTTGAGTGGGAACCGATTTTAGGTGGATCCATCCTCGCATTTCTTGGTCAACTTCAGGCTCTTGAGGGGCTAGACCTTTCCCAAGTGTTGGTTCCATCTCAACTTGGGCTTTGCAAAAACCTGAAGTACTTAGACGTCAGTTACAATAATATAACTTGTTCCATCCACCCTCGTCATTGAGTTCCTTGAGTAACATTTTTGAGTTGGATATCAGTTCGAATAGGATTGGTCATGTGATTCCAGCACGGCTTAATGGGAATTGGACCGATCTAACTACCTTTTACCCTGTATCTTCATGACAATTTACTCGTAGGAATTATCCCTTAGAAATTGGCCTTCTCAAAAAGCTTTAGAAATTGGCCTTCTCAAAAAGCTCTGTTTCCTTTGCATTTATTCGAACTAGATTTTGGGTCCAATCCTCGAGAACTTGGAAATCTCACTAATCTTGAGGAATTGTATCTTTCAAGGAATTACTTGATGGTTTGCTCCATTCTTCCATAGGAAACCTTCTCAAGTTTAATAAATTGTACATGAATAATAACCTTCTTGTGGGTTCTCTTCCTTCTTCCATTGGAAACGTTTCCCAGGTTATTGATTTGGAGCTATCCAGTAACCATCTTTTGGGATCGGTCCCTTCCTCCATTGGAAACCCTTCTAAGATTACAGTTTTGGACATATCTCACAACAATCTCATGGGATCTCTTCCTCCTGAGAATTGGAATCTTGAATAGATTGAAGCCATCTCGGAGTTGTCGGTTTCTTTTAACTGCCAAAACTCAATTTACTCATGGCCCCATAACTCAGCCACAGTAAGGACGAGATTTACTCAATCCAAAGGGCCAACCAAGTGTATAGGAAAAGCTAACAAATTCCTGTGTAGCTTTTATTTCTAGCTCAAGCTTAGAATGCAAGTTATGGCCAAGATAAAAAATAGTGCAAGCAATAAAGAAAGAAAAAAATATGGCTGTTAAAATTGCTACAACTGTGAAAGATGAGAGCCATGAAACTCTCGGCTAGACTCTCTCTCATATTTGAGTTTCATGGCTTTGATCTTTCACAATTGTAGCTATTTAAACAACCACACTTTTTTATCTTTCTTTATTGCTTTCACGATTGTCTATCTCGACCGTAACTTGCATTCTAAGCTTGAGCTTGAAACAGGGACAAGGCAGGGATTTGTTAGCTTTCCTTGTACACTTGGCCGGGGCTTTGGATTGAGTAAATTTTGTCCTTACTTTGGTTGAGTTATGAGGGATGTAAGTAAATTGAGTTTTGGCGGTCAAAAGGAACCAACGTCCACCACATTGACTCATGGTTCGAGTTTTCAAGGCCCTGTTTTCATTAGCAACACTTGTATGGTGGATTGCTGTATTTGCAATAGAAGTGTGAAAATTTTTAGTTGACAATATTGGGTATCAATGCAAGTTCAGTTGTAACCCATTTATTTGTTTCACTGAGTAGATGAAAGTCATGGCATCAAAGAGTTTAATGGCTGAGCTCCTAAAGGTCGAGAAGTTTAATGGTTTAAACTGAGCCTTATGGAAGAAAAAATTGGGTATATTCTTGACGAGGAAGGATGCAGCCATATATGCTCACCTCCACTTGTCCTTAAGAACCTAGTGGTTATGATGGCCATGCCACAAGGGATATCTATGCTCATCAAAACTCATCAGTGGGGCCTCTCTTACTTACCTCACTGAAAAGTTCACATACTCACAAAGAGGAAGAACAAGGACCAGGGTTTTGCATATATATACCTAGTGGTTATGATGGCCAAGCCACAAGGGATATCTATGCTCATCAAAACTCATCAGTGGGCCTCTTTTACTTACCTCACTGAAAGGTTCACATACTCACAGAGAGGAAGAACAAGGACCGGGGTTTGCACATATATATATATATATATATATATAGGGCAATGATTTCATGCAACCGTT